GTGGTTATGTAACTGAAGTGTGACAGCACATGCTAGAATTTTTGCAAAAGAGGGTAAGTTGGAGATGGGGCAAAAATTGTTAAAATTGTCGAGAGCCATGTTAGGCTTTTTTGTCACTGGGGCAATGGCAGCAGTTTTGAGGACCATTGGTACAGTACAATGCCAGTGCTCATGGATTAATTTATAATATTGAGGACAATAGGACAGAGAGAAGAGAAACAGAACTGAAATAAAGTGGTGGGAATGGGATCTAAAATAGATGTGGTGGGTTTCATGCGTGTAACTAGTTTATTGAGGGATGCTGAGTCAAGAAGAGAGAAGGGAACCAGAGAAGTTGGATGAGGAGTGAGGAGGTATGGAAATGATATGCGTAGTGGAGAGAATGTGATGCCGGATGTTGTCAATCTTAGAACTAAAGAAATCTAAGAATGTGTTGCAAAGTTGCAATGAGGCAGGCAATGTGGTGGTGGCAAAATACAGTATCATGATTTGGTATTTTAACTAGATTTATTGGTATTTACTAAAAAAAATGCTCGTGCATGTTATTGTTCCTTGTACTTCTGCCCTGCCATTCTCATTCAGGCCTGGGACCTTGTGTTTAACTCCTTCTAAACCCCAGGAAAACAGAAATTCTTCAGAGGCCCCTGTATAGTTAGAGGCTTCCATTCCACTTCCAATGAGCAGAATGTTACATACTGTAGATTGTTGGTTTTTTTGTATTCCATTTGAAAGGATCCGTTAATTGTATTTTCTTGAATAAATATATTAAATTACTTAAATTAGAATTTTATAACATTAAATATGACTTTGCTATTAGTATGATGTGCTATTACAATTAGAATATATTATTTTTAAAATTCTTTCATAAAGGCATTATCTAATCCATAATTCATTTATGCATAAATCTAGAGGGCACTGTATTTAAATAGGATTAACAGCAACAAAGAACCAAAATTGCAGAAGAGAGCACATGGACACTAATACTATAGTGTTTAAATTCACCTTGAAGTTTTTTCTTGTAGGTGTTCACTAGGAAACGATTGCATTTCATGTAGGCAAAAAATGTTTTCTTTCCATTGATGTACAATTCTAAACAAAACATTTACCAATTCATTTCAGTGAAGACACAAAATACAAACATTACTGTACTGATTAATACAGTAATAAAACTGATTAGTATCTATTACAATCTCATTTATCCTTTTAAAGCGTCTCTCATTAAAGTGGAGATGAATATGAACAGGGAGATATCAAGGCATTAAATGTTTTAAATTATTAATTGAATTGGCTTTTTAATTTAATTGGTTCCCCTAATAGATCTCCATCTTCAAGACTAAAAAGGTTATGTTTGTAAGCTTATCAGAGTAGAACTGATTCAAGATCCTCAATATCTTTTTTTGTAACCAAAACTGGTTATAATCTAAATGAAGTCTTACTTGTATATTGTACAATTTTAGCATATCATTCCTTGATTTAAATTATATGCTTTTAACCATCCTACTATTCTGTTTCTGTTTTTTGTATTGGTTTCCCATATTGTCTAGAAGACCACAGTTACGTCAACATGTATTTCTATCCTCATTTTTTCCCATCTATTAATTGCAGTGTATATTACTTCTGCAAGCACATAACATCCTGTACTTGTCTTCATTACATGTTATCTGTCAGGTGTTTTCCTTGACCTAAATTTGAATTTCCTTTGAAGCTTCTGTAGTGCAGTGCACTGTTGCACTAATTTGTTGAACTCCATTGCTTTAACAAGATACAGTTCATTCGTAATCATTTTATCTTAATTGATTTGGGCAGTTGGTTTCTAACCTTTGATTTTCTTACTCTTTGATCACTGTTATTCAGTGTTTCAAGCAATTTCACTTTAAAATGTTGCCATCTATTATCTGCTGACTCCAAATTGATCCTCTTCGATTCTTCTTTTTTTAAACTCGCATTTCTTTATAGTTTGCTTTCCTGAAATTGTTAACCTTTGCTTTGGATTCCACGTGTAGAGATTCAAATCCTACTTCAAAACATAACCATATTATGATTGCACTTCTCTGTTTGTTCTGTCATCTGTTTTCCTCACTCTTTCTTTGTTTGAAAAGGCTAGATCAATACACACATCTCCAGTAGTAAAAACTGACAAACTATTTGAGAACATTGTTTTTTAGTTATTTCTACTCTTTTAGAAGATAGTAGGAGCATTGCTCTGTAGTGACTGGTGGCACGTCTTTGTCCTTTCCACTTATTTTTTTATGTTCTATGTTTTGTTTATTTTATTTTCATTTTTCTATATTTTATTATGTACATCTCGTCTCACCAACAACCGGCTCCACCAGTCCATGGCTGGGGCGCGCACGATGCAGGCATTGTTGGCTTGAAACATAGCTGGGAATTCCATTTAACTTTAAGATCCAAAGATTTCCAACCCTCGGATACACTGTTTGCCAATCTTCCGCAAGACGTTGTGTTCTACAAAAAACACGAACTTTAATCAGAAAACTAAGCGCAAGCATGGCAAGAGGAGAGGACTGCGACAGAGGCTCCGGCGGAGGAGAAATAAGCTCTGGCTGCCCACCGTCTTTCTATTGAACGTGCGCTCACTGAGGAGCAACCTAGACGAGCTGCATGCCGGCGTGCGGTTCCTGCACGGGTTTCGGGATGCCTGCATTCTAGCTTTTACAGAAACTTGGCTGGACGAGACCGTGAAGGACGATGTTGTCAAGCCTGAGGGGTTTTCTCTACACCGGCTGGACAGGGATCCTGAAAGCACAGGTAAACATCACGGCGGAGATGATAAACAACCGCTGACGTCAGAACATCATCGTCCATGAAAGCATGTGCACGCCTGACATCAGACTGCTCAGTGTCTCTCTGCACCCCTTCAATTTCCTCAGCTTTTTATTACTCTCATCTATATCCACCCTAAGGTGAATGCGGTAAAGGCCTCCAATATAATTTTTGATGTTAACCAGAAACTGGACGCTATATCCCCAGATGCTCCTAAATTTATTTTAGGAGACTTTAACAGCTGCGCACTGTCTTTCAACGTATAACCAATACGTGACCTGCCCCATGCTGTTGAATACAATAATCGATGATTGCTATGGGACAGTTCCTAATGCCTACTTGTCCCTCTCAAGACCTACACTGGGCAACTCCGGCCACAACGCTGTGCTTCTCAGGCCGATCTAGCAGCTGCTGTTCAAGAGGATCAAACAGGAGAAAAGTACAGTAAAAGCCTGGGACACGGAGAGCACTAAACGGCTTCAGGATTGCTTTGACTGCACGCGATGGTACGTGTTTAAAAACACATTGGAGGACATTCACAAACTCGCTGTTGTGGTATCAGATTATATTTCTTTCTGCGTCGACTCTATCATCCCTACCAAAAGCTTGAAGGCTTTTTCCAATAACAAACCCTGGGTAACAAAAAGCCTTTATCATGTTTTCCTAAAAAAGAAACTGGCTTTTGCTCAAGGAGACACCCAGCTCAGGAAGGAACTGCAGAGAGAGGTGAAAAGGGAGACCAGGAAAGCTAAGGAACAGTTTAGGGTGAAAATAAAGAACATCATGACAACAGGTGACACCAGGATGGCATGGCAGGGCATTAAAATCATGGTTTTATATTCGCTTTGAATTGAAATCTACAACCACCTCAGCTCATAGGATATTCACCCTGTATCTGGAGAGTTTTTTAAAATTGACACAGCAGAGGTATGTAGGCTTTTTAGGAAAATCAATATACAGAAAAGTGCAGGTCCAGATAATGTGTGTGGTAGGGTCTTACAATTTTGTGCAAATGAGCTTTGCAATATTTTTTAGTTTTCTCTTCCAGATGTCCTTAAACTTATAGATCATTCCCTCTCTGTGGAAGAAATACATCATTATTCCTATTCCTAAAACTGCCAAGCCTAGTGGCCTTAACAGCTACAGGTCGGTTGCCTCTCATCTTTCCCAATGAAAACACTTGAGAGAATAGTTCAGAAGAAACACATTACAAAGAGCATACAAGCCCTCATCAACCCCCTGCAGTTTGCATACAGGGAAAGGAGGTTGTTGATGATGCAATACAGACATTGTTAAATCTAGTCTATCAACAGCTGGACCAACCAGGGACCTTTGTAAGGATTTTATTTGTTGATTTCTCCTCTGCTTTCAATACAATACAACCACTATTGCTTGCACAGAAACTCTCAAAGTACTTCAATCTGAATGACAACCTGATAAGATGGGTGCTAGACTTCCTAATTAACAGGTCTCAACAGGTCAAATTGGGGAAGTGCTTATCTGACATTCGCTACACATCAGTTGGAACACCACAGGGCTGCTGTACATTTTGCACAATAATGATTGCATAAGCAAACAGACAGATAGACAGTTTATTAAAAGACACTGGCCCTTACCAATCATGGCCTCCTAATAATCCCCGTCTATGAATTGGTTTCATTACTCTGCTCTCCTCCCCACTGATAGCTGATGTGTGGTGAGCACTCTGGCGCACTATGGCTGCCGTCGCATCATCCAGGTGGATGCTGCACATTGGTGGTGGTGGAGGGGAGTCCCTTACCTGTAAAGCGCTTTGAGTGGAGTGTCCAGAAAAGCGCTATATAAGTGTAAGCAATTATTATTATTATTATTATTATTATTATTATTATTAACATAAGTACCGGTAATTGTAATAGGCTGGGTAAATTAGTGAATATAAGTGGCAAAATAATCTGGAATAATCAAATCAACTTAAGTATCCTTTACAAACAGAGGGTGACTAAGAAAGCCAAAAGCATCATGGAGTGTGTGTCTCACCCCCACCATTGCAAATTCACACTTCTTCCATCTGGGAGACGCCTCTGTGTCCCAAGGTGTAAAACCAACAGACTCAGGAAATCTTTCATTCCCACTGCAATGACACTCTTAAACAATGCAAAGTAACTACCTTGTCTCGTTTCTTTTCTCCTGTAACAATACTGTATTCTCGTTCCTTTTGATGATGTTTATTTATCATTGTGTTGTGTTTGACTGTGCCGTAAAAATAATTTCCCCCAGGGGCCAACAAAGCTTGAATTGAATTAGTTTAATTTGCTGATGTCCTTGATCTTTTTTCAAATATGATGAAAATTTTGCATCTCCCCAAATAACTGATTCTTCCGACATTCTGATAAGGTCTTGATTTTATTACACACATTTTACTCAATAACTAAATTCGGTGCCCTATGACATACAGTACTTCTAACACTAACTCCTATATACGTTTTTCACGTGTGGCTTATTTGATTCATCTGTTCCAAGTTCCTGGACCTGGATGCTCTTGGTGTACAGTGATACACCCCCATCTCATCCCATCTCAGCTGTGTAGCCAATAATCCAGTTGCATCACAGTTAGATTCTAATGCAGTAGCTTCAATTTCTCCGTGTACAACTGAAATAGTCTTTGCCATTAAAAGGATTCTAGTGGCTGAAGCCTTCTTTAGCACACCATATTTTGTGTTTTCTTTTCGATTAACATTGACAGTTTTTCATCATTGCATGCTATAGTGAGGACCCCTCAGAAAACTTCTGATTTCATCCCACTCTTAATTTTCTTCCCCGGGTTTGAATTTATTTTGTTATGAAAACCAATGTCTTTTGTCCCCACATGAGCAACTGAGTCTTCACCTGCCTTAGCTACTCTTTGGAATAGGTTAGCCCCCTTGGCTGCAGGGTCCAGTTTTCCTAAGAATACAGTCTTCAGCAGTAACTTTTTTATTTAAGTGACTGCTGTGTGATTAAACATACATACTGATCATATCTAAATCTCAGTATCTGTAATGGAGGTAACTAGAGAGCTGCTACTTTGAGCTTCCAAGTCTTGACTGTTTCTTTCCAGGTCTCAGAGTGGAGAAAACCTGTCTTGAGGACGTTAGGTGATAGTGAAGGGATAGACAGCTCTATTTTTCTTACATTCACATCTTAAGACTAACTAATGTGTGTTATTTTGACAATTTGGTTGCCTTCTTCTATCAGTGTTGATTTTGTCTGTTACTGGCAGGTGAATAGTTTACAGGATTGTTTTTTAATTACACACAAAAACACACGTTTTTATACATTGGTATGACACTGTTTTTTCGTTTACTTTCTGCCCTTTATTGCATGTGTACAAATTATGGCAAACTGACTGATAGTGTTCTGCAAATCAGTATGTCTTCCCAAATGGAATTAAAACATAAAGATAATGTCTATTCAGCATCATGTTAAACTTAAGTGTTCCGTTTAGAATAACCCAAGACTAAAGCAGCTATGGTGCTTTTATTTTTGTGTTGATTTTATTTCCAGGACTTGGTGGTTCGTATTGTTTTCACTCTTGGAAACCTGACAGCAAAGAACAACGAGGCTCGAGAACAGTTCTTCACAGAAAAAGGAAGCGTTGACACGCTTCTGGGGCTTTTCCACACTTACCTGGAGATGGGTTTCACGCCAGAAGACTGCTCCAAAGATTGCAGACAGAATAATCAAAGACGTCCCTCAGAGGTGGAGGATGTTCTCATCAAGTTGATTAGAGTTCTTGCAAATTTATCAATTCACCCCACTGTCGGCACAGCACTTGCTTCTAAACAAGAGTGTATTGATCTACTTGTTAAAGTACTCGGTAGGTTATCAATGTTTTTAAAAAAAATACAATGAATGAAAAATCTTTCTCAATACATTAACTTCAACTAGACTTATCTACATATACTGTAAGTAATAGGTTTATTCCATGCTTAAAAAAGAAGAAAGTAAACACAATGTTTCCGCTGTGGAGCCTTCTTCAGGTGTGTCAAGACCTTCACGAAGGCTCCACGGCCGAAACGAAATGTTTTCTTTCTTCTTTTTTTTCAGCATGGAATAAACCTATTACTTGTCCCTTTGCAGCCTACGCATGCTGACGCAGCTCCCCACCTTATCTACTAGCTTTAACATTTAATATAGTTTGTATTTATTTAATATAGCAATGGTACTTTTGTTTTCCATAAATCAAATGTTGAAGGTTTCACTTTGAATTTGAGTTAGAATGAAGCTTTAAAAACTCTTTCAGGAACTCAATTTATCAATATTGGGGTTTTACCTCTTTAACTGCATTTTTTGTATTTAGAAAGGAAGTCCGCATGTTATTCTGCACATACTTATTATTCTTCGCAGCTCGTGTACAGTGTCACCCTGCAAAGTGACATCCTGTTTTGCACAACTGTAGCGTCAGTAATCACTTACTGAAAGGTTTAGGCAGCAAACACAGTACTTGGTTTGGAAATGCTATACCACAATAAAGGACATTTCCAGTTACAGTATGAATTAAAAAATGTGACTCATTTGGTTACTGAAAGCCTGATCAGTTGTATGGTTTTTCTGTTTCACATACAGACACGAAAGGCAAGTTTTAGTCTCTTAAGATATTGATTACAGAATTCGCACTTAAATAGTTCTGAATTAACAAGAAAAATAAACTATAACTGTTCTTGTTACTTCTTTCCATGTTTTATAACTTCAGGTGTATTCTACAGTCATGTAGCAATATTTGTAACATAAAAACAATATTTGGCTCCATTTTATAAAAATGCTTCCACTTAATTTATTATATAAAATGGTAAGGATACATTATTTTATTTCAATAAAATTATGCTGAGCTAATGTTTTAATGCTTGGGTGGTTTAGAGAAGTTGATAAGAAAAGCTTGCTTTGTCACATTGCTTAGATCTAATCAGTTAATGCTGAGTTGTTTAATTAAGGCTATGTGAAAGTTTCTGCTTTCAGTCTTATCAGAGCAAATGTGATCTACAATGCTGCATCTCATTAGTACTTTATCATGCTAGATGCCAGTCTCCTGAGTGATGATAAATGTCACTGTTGCATCTCTAAGGGGGACACTAAGGCATTCTGTTTCTTTATATTGTTTCTTAACCAGAGTACAAATCGATTGATGAATGTGAGGAGCTTGTGATCAATGCTGCAGCCACCATCAACAATCTATCATATTACCCAGCTGAAAACTCTGTGGTGAGGGCCAAACAGCTTCATATTGCCGAGTGTAAGCCAGTCACTCATTGGATCCACATTAAGGAGCAGAATGTCTGTAAATGTCAGGAATGAATCTTTCTTACTTAAAAACACACTGAAGGTTTTGTTTCAGCAATGTCAGCATTGTTCTGTTTACCATGTCAGACTTATTTCCTGTTGTAAGCATTGGTTTTATGAGCTTTACATATAGAGAATCATAATCCGAGAATTGTGAATAGCAAATTTAAAGTAATTCTTATCAAAGGTTTAAAAGGTCTTATTGCTGTTTAACAGGATTAGTGATTTATAAATATACACTTATGACATGCTGTAGCCAAGGCACAGGTGATTGCTTACAGCCTAGAAACTTCTGTAGCCTCACATAGACGGGCTGTCGGCATGCTGCAACTGATCTCTGTTTACAGCCTGTTCTCTAGATTTAAATCCTAAACTTGAATCTTGAATTCTTAAGGGCTGCCACACATCAGCCTGGTTCCCACAGTCCCACAATATAAAAAAGGATTATTAAAAGTGTCACAATATTTTAAAAAAAATAAGGCCAATAAAATGTGATGTACAGCTATGTTCTGTGATAATAAGAAATGAGGCCTTTTTATTTTAGAATTGTTTTTAAAAGTAATGTGATTGATGTTTTTCTTGAAACATCCTACAATATAAAAAAGGATTATTAAAAGTGTCATAATATTTTAAAAAAATAAGGCCAATAAAATGTGATGTACAGCTATGTTCTGTGTTAAGAAATAAGGCCTTTTTATTTTAGAATTGTTTTTAAAGTAATGTGATTGATGTTTTTCTTGAAAAATATTTTAAAGAATTACACCATCTCTCATTCCTTATTTAAGTATATATTTTTTAAATTATAGAGTCATGTAATTCTGGAAAAGTATGTTTGTGTTGATTTGCATGAACGTTTATACTGTAAATAATCATCTCAAAGTCCTGCCTGAAGTTGGTTTAGTTGATGTATGAATGCCCCCTTCCATATGAAAATCCCAGCTTAATTGTGGAGTGTGTTTCAAAACATCCCTGTTACTAATGGATTCCTTTCGGAGGGATGATTTTTAATGAAAATGACCAAATTGTATTTATATTAACAACACATTTGTTTTTCTGTTGAAAACTAACAGTACTCCTACGGTTGCTGCTGAGTAATAATATGGAGGCAGTGCTGGAGGCAACTCGTGTGTTTGGAAATTTCTCACAAACTAAGGAAATCCGGGACTTTATTCTGCAAAAGCATGGTAAGCTTTGTGTCACATGTTCAAAAACATGTGGAATTAAATATCTTAAATATCCACAGTAAGGCACCAATACCACCTTATAAAAAAGCTGGCTGAAGATAGAAGAGAAAAGCTGTACCATGACATTTCCTTCAAATTTCAACCCAAAGAAGATGTATTTATGAAATAGTAATGTAACTTGTCAGTGAACTGTTTCCTATGAACATTCATCAGGCTAAGACAACATAGATCCTTGAAAAGGTGTTCCATTAAATAGTTTTTGTGTCAGTTTAAATAAGTGTTGCTTTGATTCCATCTCAGTAGCACAATTGTTCTTAATGTTTGTCAGTGCTTCAAGATTATTTTGTATCATTTTGTTTCTTGCTTTACAGCGTAGTGTAGTTGTCTGTGTTTGGTATAAATAGCTTGTTAATAAAAAAGCAGTGATATGTTTAATTTTTCATCTAGTTGGGCTGCTTTGGATGACATAATATTCAGTCACTTCAGAGAATTCATCCGCTTGGAGGGGCTGGATATTTCCTGATAAAGTTTTATGTTTTTTTTATATAGTCACTCTTTTTTTCCTGCTATGGTTTTCTGATATACTGTATAGGAATATTTTTGTCTCATAATGTTAATCCTTTAAATATTTGATTGAGAAATCAGTCAGTACTGTTGGTTCCAGCACTTGTTTTTTTTTTTAAAGCCCATCAGTATAGGAAAATGTTATATCTGTACATATTTATTTACCCAGTTTACAAATTCATGACTGTGCTGCTGGATTCAAAGAATCAGGATGTTTGCTTCTCTGCTTGCGGAGTGCTTATCAACCTCACAGCAGACAAGACCAGCAGAACGATACTGAGAGAAGGAGGAATACAGAAGTAAGTTTTTAAGGATCTGGTGTCAAAAAATCTAGACACCCCAGTATCCCAACAGACATGTTGTTTTCTGTTTTTTTCTGGTGCAACGGGTCAGTGTAAATGTCTAGATCTTCGTCAGTCTAGCTTGTACCAGCTGAAAGAGACTGACAAAAGCCAGGACTGACATACAGCTTATTGAAGTTGAACAGCATATGCTGGGAGTGAGTGCCATTACTAGTTGGGTCAACATGAATGTCACGTGGTTAAAAAGCCATTTCCGTCAATGTAGGATTGCCTTTCACTAATAGACATTTCTATTATGTAAATACCAACAGGTGAAATGTCCCTGTAATTAACACTGAATGTAACTCCACTGTTATTCAACTGACTTGCAGGTTGATCGATTGCCTGAGAGACTTTGGACCAGTGGACTGGCAGTTGGCGGGTCTTGTATGTAAGACCCTGTGGAACTACAGTGAGGAAAGTGCAGCTTTCAGCTTTGGAGAAGAGGAGACAAAATCACTGCTTCAGCTTCTTTCTGTCTTTTTAGGTAGTAAGGCATTTGTGTTTTTCTTTTTCTTTCAAAGAGTGGTGTATTATCGTTATTTCTTCAAGTCAGTTTAAAGCAAATCAGAATGTCTTCACATTTTATAGTTGTGTTATTTAAGTGGGATTCAGGGAAAGAACAAAAAAAATACAAAGAATTCTTTAACAGAATCAATAAGACATTTGCATCAGGCTATTAACAATAAACAAGTTTGGTTTTTAGGATCCAAAGGCTAAAATATTAATTTTCATAATCTGTGGTAGTTTGTAAATACTAATGTATTTGTTAACTTCTTAAGATGTTACCTTTTTGATAGTCTTTACATGCCCTTTTGGTATTGGTGAGAAGCTCTTTAAAAAAACTGTTTTTTGTGTTTAAAGGAAGGTGCTTATGAAGAACTACATTATACTTGAGGAAGTTTTGTATTGAAGTAATTCCAAATATGATGTAATTGTTCTGTGCAATCCAAACTTCCCTTAAAAAATGCTGAATCTGAATCTTTTAGAGATGTTTGCAAATTTTTCTGGGGACATTGAGTTGTTGTGATTATTAATTTCAAAAGATCCCCCTTTTCAGTCTTCTCTCAAATCAGAGTCGTGCACCATGTCTTCGGATTACATAGCTGTGTACTACTTATTACTTGAGTTTTATTTTAAAATAACTATAACTATAATCCTTGAATTGAAATTAAGAAGCAAAAATGAAAAACTAAAAACAATATGCTATGATGAACAATCATCAGTACTGCATAACTGTACCTTAGAGAAAATACAAAGAGAAATATATTCTGCGCAGACAGCTGAAAGTCTTTACTCTGTGAATAAAAACACATCAGGCACAGGGGTCCCCCAGGATCAGGCTTGGAGCTTGTACCTTGTTCAGGTTACATTTGAAATGTAACTGATACAACCCCTGCAGAAGGAAAAAAAATGTAGGAGTCCCTCATACTTGGTTGTTTCCATCTGTTCATTGTCAGTTGCTCAAGTAGTAAGAGCTGTTTGGACAGGCGAGGAAGACAGTCTTAAAAAATAATTTGAGGTGATTCTATGTGTAAGTTGTTGGAACAATGCTCTTGAAACAAAGACTGTGTGCCAAAACAGGCAAACACAAGTCTAAACATGCATGTACTGTAGATCAAATACTACCTACTTTTCTTTGTAAAAGGCAGTTTCATGGTGTTTTTTTGTGAATGTATATCATCAGCCAATTTCCTGTAGTTAAGCTTTACCTTGATGTCAGTAATGAGCTGGTGGAGAACTTTGATTATTAATTTAGTTTTATATTAGATTCCCTTGATTAATTTGACATTTTAGGATTTGGACTAAAACCCAAATAGGTCAAGTAACTTCAGTCCTCCTGTGATTTTACCTTTGCTGGGGATGTTTAGGCATTTTTAGAAATATTGTATCTCACAATTTGTTTTTTACAGATGAAAACATAGCCACCCACTGGAACTTGAGCGAAGACTTCAAAGAGTTCCACAAGGCATGCTGGGAAACGGAGTTTGTCCCAGTGGCTCAAAAGCTGATGAACAGGATCCAGAACCAGTACTCTGTCCTGGAGCCACTTGGCACTCCGTCATAGCAAAGTCAGTTTCCGTAGACAGGGCATTAAGAGCCCTTCACACTGGGTTAGCCTTTATGCACTTTAATATCTATTATGTGGTTTTCACATTGCTCAGTTTAGATGGCATATACAATAAGAACATTTATAAATGAAACTCTTCTTCAGTCTTAAGGAAAATCAAAAACATAAATTGCAGTAAGTGTGAACAGTCAATGCTGCACATTCTTTAACATAATTGTAAATATACAGTGTATTATGTGAAGATAATGTGTATTTAATAATGGAAATAAGGAAAATGTGTTGAGATAGACCTGACTGGTGGTTTTACTAGTTTGTTATAAAGTGCAATAATATATTCATAGACAAGTGGTAGTAATTTTCTACTGGCATGGTGTGATATCAGCACAAAACCTTTAAGAACAGAAGATGTACTGTTAAGTGAGTCATCAAATGCATGGTGGGAGAAGTGTAGTTGTGTTAGGTGATTAGGTAACATTTCACTTCTCCATTATAATCATCTCTAAGCACTCTATTAACATGCTATTGATAATATTCTATACAGATTTAAAACATAGATTGTTTTGTGACTAGCATGCAGCTAATCAACATTAGTTTATTTCAATTTTCACATTGTTAATACTTTTCTATTCCATTAATAAAAATGTTGGCAATGGCTCTTGTAACCCCTAATTCAAAGTGTTAGGGATACCGACGACTTTACAATTATTCCTGATCAGCCACCAAATTGTAATCAAATACCTGTCGCTAGATTAGACAATATGATATAATTTAATAATTGAAATAATATTACATTATTGAACAAACATGACACTGATTTGTGATATATCACTAACCAGAACCCCTGTTAAAAGTTTTTTGAAACACTAGTAATAAACAAAATTATACTTGAAGTGTTATTTCATAACACAATATTGACTGTCTTATTACTGTTCTCTGATGAAGCTATTGCTGCCAATAACAAGGACTATGTGATTGGATGCAGTAATGTTACTGGAGTTTTAGTTAGAGGGCATACTGTAGTTGGCTACAAAAAGTGTTTACTTCTAATGTTAAAACATTAAGTGAGAACAGCAGATAATCAGCTATATAACATTTAAGACGAATTTGTTTTTATTTTACACTTTGCATTTCAAGATGACACACTATGTGCTTAAAACTAGACTGAATAAAAACATGAACTCTACAAATAAGGATAGTTGTGTTTTTGTCTTATGACCCATTTGCTGTTGTCCTTTCAGGCATCACGTGAATCTTCCATTTTAATTTTTCCGCAAGCTTGGAGGAGTGCTTTATTTTTTTTAATCTGAAAAAGGAGGGTGAAACAAACTCATTTCCACAGTTTGAAGTGCTATGATCTTGGCATCTTATGATTTTTTCCATTTCATCTTCAAGTATCTGTAGAGAAACATTTATGCTTGCTTCACAAGAAGTGATTTTAAATATGCTTTCTCACACTGTTGCTTGTAGTCTTTGTTACAAGATGCATTAGGATGTGTAATTTGAAGTTAATATACAAGTTTTCCAGTTTTGAGTTACAGTGCAAGGAGAGTCATAAGTGGGACAGCAGCTGGGCTCTAAACATTTTCTGAACCCGATTGAAGTGCCTCTCCTACAGATCATCTGAGTCATACTGCATTCATTTTAGGAGACAAAGTAGTAGGAAAAAATGTCTGTGATCATAGAATACTGAGGACAGTGCAGTTGTGCATGAAAATTGACTAGCTCCCCCACACTGGGATTTTTAAGCCATTGCAGTTATTAATGAGAAACCTATTATTTTTCACTACTTAAATGACAACCTAATAAGTGATTGGCACGTCAACCTACTTTTTACAGAGTTCAGCTTTGTGAAAACAAGGTTAAAATATGTAAAATTACTTTTATGGTGCACTTAAAGGTATTTGGTTCTTCATTATTCTATCTCTCTCTTCTATACTCTATATTTGCACATTACATAATATACTATCAATCCAGGAGAGTAAACACTTCTGTGTTTGGCCATTCATAGTATGCTTGTGCATTTCTAATACATATTTGTAATGATACAGTACATAAGAAAAGGACCTGTGTTTATATAGAGCTATCCAAGTTCTACTTGCATATAAGTTGCCATCTCAAACACAGTACTGTGGCAATGGTGAGGGAACTGGAGAAATGAAACATGAAATGCATTAAATACTTTATAGTATGTCATTTTATTTTTTCAACATTGTGTTTATTTGAATAGCACAGTAATAGGAGATACAATAACACTGTATTGAGCTTATGTGTCTGTTTATCAAATAAAAACCCACAAAACAACAGCTGGTCCTGCTTTTTTGGCTGCACAAATACAGAACTGTTCTTCAGTTTTTGACCTTTCATTTTGGTATTAATGAAAAAACAGCCATCAAAAATAGCAGGATAAAAATACTAAAACAAATGCATTGATCACAGCTGACTTGTATCAATAATGTATTTACAGAACCTAGAGCAGAGTAAATGGCTTGTTAGAAACATGTTTACGTGCAACGACAGTTGCAGTGGGGCAAGAGATTGTTTTTTTTTTTTAGGATATCACCCTTCTGGAAGAATTACACTCTTAAATGTTTAATGTACAAGATCAGCAATCCAGGCAAAAAAACTGCAGTGTGGAGTCCCAGTCAGTTCACTGGTACCACACTCAACTCAGTCTTGACTAAGGTTCATGTCCAGTAACCAGCCTCCAGCCTGGTCCTTTTAATATATTAACTGTTTACACACACTGCACACAGAAGCAAGTGTTCTTTCATGATGTTGACAAAACAGAACACAACCCCTGAATCAAAAGTTCTTTTCATTTCCAAAATGGCACTTCAGCTTCATAGTAATAATTTCATAGTATTTAAGAATGCCTCTAGGAATACTGTTTTGTAATAAACTTTCTTCACAATTCAATTTTATATGTAATGAAAAAAGTAAGCACTGATACAAGTGATTATAATTTAAAAATCCATTCTACAAAACCCATTTGCTTTTTGAAAGTGAAAAGACCCTTTTATTTTTTTCCCCATTTTAATGCTCATAACACTGTTAACTCTAGTCCCAACAATTTTTGAAACCTTTCTCTTATGAACACCTATTTAATTTAAGGAGAACCCTTCCCCCCCTTCTTACGCAAAGTGTGTCCTGAGATTAGCATCCAACAACTTTTAATTCTCCTTTCAGATCAAGAATTGTGGTGGCAACTGATTAAGCAAAACAGGATTTCCAACTTCACAAGCTTCTTAACGGTCAGGGTCAAACAACAGTATGAACCGTTTAACTTGGTGACCGTAGCAGTGCAGTCAAAATTAACCTCTCCTTCAGCTCTGCCACCTACAAAAAAAAGAAGAGTAGAACAAAAGGAGACGAGGTGCAAAATTCTGCTCAGGAAGAGCACTTATAGAGGTATTCAAATTCAAATGTAAAACTGTCAATGCTAGGTGACCTTCCGCGGAAGACATGATGGGATATAAAACACAGGTGCACTTCCTGGGGGAAGACCTTTACACTGACTTGGAAAATATAAGTCACCTATGAGAAAATGTTTTTAAAGAAATTATACAGCAATAAAGTCCCATTCTCCAAAGTGTCTTGCTTACAAAATGTTCAAACCCCATGTGGTAGGGGAATTGAAATAATTCACTATGCACGTGTAAAAATAGGATAATTTCTTACAGTAAACCAAAGGGCGGCTCAGACAGGCGCAGTGTTACTTTCACCCTTTACATAGCTTAAATAAAGAAGTATCCTTTTGGAGTCTTTTGCTGGTGTGCAGAGCGGCACCACCACTGTACAACAACATCTACACGCTACCCAGCCCCTACAGCTTATTGAGCAATGCTTTCCAACGCCAGGTTTTTCAACCTCAGCTTTCATAAAAAAACAAACAAACAATGAAATCTAAATACTCCAGTGCAGCTCAGTGCACTGCCGTTAAAGCTGTGAAAAGATTCATGGCGTTTTCGAGGCGCAATGGAATACTGAAGTTAAGCGTCATCTTCGCAGTCTTCTGCTACTCCTTTCAGCGGAGAATCAACCCAGAAGATGTAGCTGCAGCGCATAATGATACAATGTCATCCCCAGCAGACTGCCAGCCAGCGCTCAGTCCAGATGACTTTCAGCATCCTTCATGAAGGTTTATGCAACATCCTTTGATATGTCCACAGAAGAGAAATGGGCACTTCATGTCATGTAGTGCGTGATGGCTCTTAAAGCATAGAGCAGTTCTGCTTGCATGCGAGCTTCCATAAGAAGCAAATTAACGTGTACCTGGAAGAACAAACCAGCAAAATCATTCTGACAAATTCTACCAGAGGTATTAACAAACGAGAGACAGATTTATTTGAACATCTTATCTATGTCCTTTCCCAATCTATGATGGACTGTTGAAGGTCAGCTTTTAGAAAAAGCAGCCATTTGTTTTGAAAAACACCCAAAACAATTTATTTAAATTCACAGCACTTTAGTTTTCCGACGTAACGTAACCCGTACCTTCTCGGAATGTTGGAACTGTCTCCAAAAGCTGTCATACATTCTCTTAGTGGTCTTCTCCGGACCGCAGACCACAGTCTTAATATACACTTTGAAGCTGCGGTCTAGCAGCTGGTTAATTTCTCCATAGTCATAATCATCATATCTGGAACAAGAAAAAAAAGAGAACAAAAACAACATAAGCTCTAGATGGGTCACAATCTGCCACCAGAATGCAATGGACATATCCAGACAGTATCAGGGAAAGGCACCAGCTTGTGTTTCTTCACCCACTTTAATCTTTAGTTTTAAAAATCGCTCACCTTATTCCAAACATGCAGTGGATGTAGTTCCAGATTGCACGCCTCAGCATTGATGTATCCACGTCCTTGTGCATGGCCATGGTGTTGTACGTCAGGTTGTAAGCGATCTGGAACTTCTCATCAAGGAGCTGCCCAACGTCTGGATAAAGGCGATTGACTAAAGAGTAGCCATGGTCTTCCCAACTATAGTCCTAAAACAAGAAACATGCACAGAAATTTTAGTCCATGTACAAACAGCACTTCATTTTATGCGATTTCACTGCATTTCTTAACCGCAGTAATTCATCAGAAAAGCATATCCAACCTGGGCTCGGAAAGTAGGCACGTGTTCTCCACGCCTAGAGAAGTCCTTGTATCCATAACTGGGGTCCTCGAAGTGCCGAGAGACATCTCGAGTCGTCATGGTCTCATCCTCCTCTGCTGGTAGAAACACAGCAGGTCAGTTCAAGCTTTGCTTTAATGCTTGGCTGCTTTTATTTAACATTACACAATTCCTTGTCTGCTTAAATGCCTAAACCCTACAAAAATCTGCCTTCAGATCACTTTACAACAGTGACTTATCTCATAGATTACGACTGCAGTCTTCAAGGCCAGAAATCCATTGTATTCCCTCCCACGCCCAAGCTCATTACAGTTTTCTCATAAGACATTCCAGATAATTAAGACTGGAACCAATTCTGAGGTGCTCATCCACGCCCTGGAGATGCTGGAAGGCAGCGGGACAGCAGACCCACCTGTGGACACCACCAGCATGCTCTCGGTCTTCTCTCTCTCAAAGCGGGTGGCCATCTCCTCCTGGCTGGCCTCCTCCTCGTCCCTGCACTCCTGCAGCTGCTTCATCTTCTCCATGAGGGCTTCCACTTCGCAGGAGGCCTCCGCAACCTGCAGCACAGAGAGGCCAGAGAGCGCCCGTTGAGCTCTGGAGAAAACATCACAGCTCGGGGGCGATCGAGCGGCACCGAAAAACTGCAAAAATAACCAACGTCTGCTACACTCTGTGAAAGTTACGCAAATAAAGCTAGATTATAGACTGTATTGGAGCCCCGGTGTTGGTGAATGGAGACTTGATCGGGAAGAGGCAGCAGGGGAACAGCCCGTACACTCACTGAATGGTTGCCCAGGATCTCCTCCAGCACTCCGTTCCCATTGGCAATATCGCACACACAGTAGCTGCTGACAGAAGGCGGTCGGAAGGTGTGCCCTCCCTCGCAGTGGATCTCAGGGTTGATCCCGCAGCCGAAGGTGAAGGAGGCCAGGGAATGGTAGTGAGTCAGCAGCACCACCGCGTGGATGAGCTCTGCTAGGGACCAGCTGTACTCCTCGGCCTTCAGCAGTTGCTACAAAGACACAGGATACAAACCTAATTTCTTGCGCAAGTGTTAAAAAAACAGGAATTCTGGACAGAGGAGGAAATGTATCTGTCAGGTTGCACAGTGGTGCAGTAGTTAGCAGTGCGGCCTGACAACGCTGGGACGCTGAATTCAGTTCCGGACCTGGGGTGCTTTCCGTGTGGAGTTTGTATGGGACTCCTCCACAGACATACTTATGGGCTAACTAATGTCTGGGAAAACTGGCCCTCGTGCGAGTGTGTGGGTGTCATGAGCGTGCCCTGCGCTGGATTTGCATTCTGTCCAAGATGTAGCAAACATAGGGCCCAAGGCGATACAATATAGGCTGCAGTGTCCCCCCCCCCAACTGTACATTTGATAAAAGCAGTTTGACAATGGACGCACGAACAAATAAATCCATCCATTTTTTAACTGCTCACTCACATCTGTGGACTATGGGACGAAACTAGAGCACCTTAAAGAGACTTGCGTGAACACAGCGACAATATAGAAACTGAACCCTGGACCCCAGTGCTTCAAGGCTGCTTATCACAGCGCCACCCATGAGAAAATTTATACGGCCCAAAACTAATCTTTACGATTCAGTCTATTTGCAACGGGTTACCATAGTTCCTCTTAAACCAGCTTTGAAAGTCATCGTTACAAGAGTAACAATGACTTTCATGAATCACCCTCGTAAAACAAAAGGATTATTTATATCAAAACAAACCTATAATGCTCAGAAAGTTGAGAGTTGGATTCTTATGAAAAGCTAGGCTTTCAAGTAATATCAGAAGGGGTCATCTTTGACTGACAAATGGCCCAGGTGACAACTGAATACGCTCCTCTGAAGGCGTACCTCGATGTGTGCCTTTGTGATTAGCCAGGGCCTGTGGGCGAGAATCTTGTTCAGCTCTCCCAGATGTTGTAGCTTGGGCGGAGCCTCCTCCAGACCCTTCAACCATTTAGGGTTGCCTCCCACTTGAAGGAAATCATTCACGTGCAAGTTCACCAAATGGGAACACTGATGCCTGGCTGCAGCCTGAAAATACACAAAGGACCTGCTAATCAGAAGGGTGCTCACAGGAATTCAGACGGCTCCTCTGTATTCTTGCAGCTGTACAGAACATTGGGTAACTCGAGTGGAAATTTATAAGGGCGTTACAGGGGTTTTATGCAAACATGGAACACATTTTAAATATCAGCCCTCGCTCTCATGGAACAGCTATTACCTCTGAATCTTTGATGCTATAGATAAAAGGCACAGACAAAAGAGGGCTATGCTGAACTTAAGATTGTGCCCTCCGGGATGTACCAATATTGTCAACATCCCACAAACCAGTTTTCTCAAAAGTGTCGTTTCAGGTATAGTGTGAAAGATACAGAGATATATCAAGATGAATCATACTTTGTTAAAGATACCCCATGTCTGTATGAAATGCATTTTGGTGCCTCTCAAGTACCCTGTTCCTAGCAACAAATGTATTTTTAGTGTTAAATTTAGGAAGCTTTTTGTTCCATTTCTATGAATTACCTAAAAGGTAACAAGATGTCTAAACCTATAAACCTACTAAAAATCAGCACCTCTAAAGACTACAGATCATTAGACAGATTCAATCCTTTCATCATAATTACTGTATGTTCCGAGCTTTCAAAGGTCTGAATGTACATTCCCTTACAGTCTTACGAGATGCACTGCTTTTCACTTCATGCACAGTTGCCAGTAACTCACCATGATCCCAATGTAGTGCCGGTAGTGGAGTGAAAGAGGGCCGTCCATCTGCAGAAGGTAGTGCTGTGTCCTCAAGAAGCTCTCGAGATACTGAGGATGAAACCCCATCACCAAGGAGATGTTGTCAAGGCGCCCCAAGGCGGCAAAGGCGTCTTCAAATATTGCCCGCGTCCGTGCATCAACTTTACCAACCTCTAGTATCTAGTGGAAGACAAAGAGCTGCACGTTAAAACCAAGCACACGCAGACATCTTTAAATCATTCAGCCACCACATAACAAGGACTGAACAAGCACCATATTTTAGGATATGTTCTACCGCAAAGGACATTGCGCTCTGTAAACTTACAGGCAGTCATCACCAGTAATACCAACATTCTGAATTGTCAAAGAGGTAGGCTGAAGGAAATCTCCTACTAGTGGAAGAGCTTAAGAGTCTCTCCATGAGAGGATTGAAAACGTCTCATTTTTGGGGTGTGTTTGGATTGTCAGGTATGGTTCCCTCAAGTAAGCGAAGCCAGACTGAAACTCATAACTTTTATATAAAGAGGTCTGATCCTGGAGTTGTGTCACCATACAAAAGAATAATGACAAATAAAGTTAAATTGAATTGAAAGGAACCTAGAGGTAACTTCTGAAGAAGGCTCAAGAGCTGTTTCTCTGCAGCTCATTTCTACCTTTTGGCATGGAATTGAACTCTTCTTGTTCTTTTATATAAATACACATATCAGTTGATAATTGCTGAAAGAGAACAATATTTCTTTAAAATACTGGGAGACCATTAAAAGTGTCAGAAACTGGAAGCTACTGCTTCAATCAGTAGGGTTGGCAATGTATGCACTGCCCTGCTTCACCACTGGAGGAAGAACAGGAATATTAAAACGGCTGTCATTTTTTTGCAAACAGCATTAAGCAGTGGCTTAAATATTAACAAAACCAGGTCAAAGCACATTATTGACTCCATGCAGAATAATACCCTTCAGCAAAACAGCCCAGAATCTTATTGCACGTGCTTCTCTCTTTGCTTTCCCACACCCCAGCCAATAGCAAACATGGCACAAAATCTACAAAATCCCCTGTTTTTCTCATTTGCTCCTGCAGAACTGTGAATGTTACATGTAGAGGACAATGCAAGCAGGGGACCTCTATTAGAGGGAGGGAAAAACATACTTTCCTGTGCAAGCATTAAAAGCAGTCACATTTTTAGACATGAGGTTCAATTAGTGTTCATCTGTTAGGAAAGTTTTTTATATACATGTTAACATCACACATTTAGTATCACAACCTATAGTAAATACACAGATTTGAAGCAGTAGACATCTACAGCACCTCTTTCTCAGGGATGTATCTGCTTGGTCCATGTCCCAGGGGTCTTGGAATTCTCACTCCCATTTCCTAGAGTAGAAGGAAAAAAACAGTTATATACTGTACACCGTTTCATCCGAGGTACTACAGGGCGATTCTCCGTTAACAGCAGCTAGCGTTCATGAGAAGCAGCTGTTAAAGTGAAAGTGGTATTCTGACCTATATACTGGCATTTTCTATGACAAGATCAATGGAGTGAAACCTCTGCGTGAAAACGATCACCTTCTGTGATGAGAAAAAACACCAAGAAACCTACGTACAGTCAGTAACCACTTGGCTGCGTGCCCAGAACATGCAGCACAGAGCTCATCTCCGCTGCGTGAGAGATCTCGCACTCAACGGCGTGTTGTTTCCCTACTTCGGGACTGCGGAGCGCAACACGCAACACACGGACTGTATCTGCTGGAGAACACGCGCCACCGTAAAACAGCCAGACCGCGGCTCCTGCAGCCCTCAGAGTCACGGTCAGGTGAAGCGCTCAAGCCCAGAAAACGAAAACAAGACACTGGCATTGGCTGTGCAGTGCGACACCTCCGAGGGAGCTGTCGTCTCTGGGGTTTGTCTTATTCGAAGGCAATTGATGGCGGGAAAGAAAACGTTCGAGATAAGCCTCCGGAGGAACGCGGCACAACCGCCGGCGCACCGTCAGGAGTCACTGACCGGTGCTTTCGACAGAGCGGTTTTAAGGTCCACGGCATATCACACAGCAAGAAAGGAAACATGGTCAATGCGAGGTGGAAGTCACAACGCCCCAGCCCAAACATCTTGAAGTCACCTTTCCCGTGAGCGTTCATGAGATACGGGTCCAGCGATCCCCATATTCATATTGACCTCTGTGAACGCGTACACCGTCTCCAGCGTCATTGCCGTTTTGTGCCAAAGTGTGACAGACTTGATGGATCAGTTTACACCAACAGCCCCTACCGTCACCGATCCTTGCGCGTTCAAACGAAGGTGCTTACTTAGCAAATGAATGAGAGATTCTTGCAAAGTTTAAATCCAGGCTCAAGCAAGTTTCAAGACAGCAGGCATTCTGGGTCAATGTAGAAGAGTATACATTAATTTAAAAATTACCCCATTTTTACAATTTGCCTGAATGTATTGCCAAAGCTATAAAAATGAAACGGGGATTCATCTGCACAGTTAAAGATGCTGTCGCCCTCAATCGATATACAGGACGCCTTTCGTTTCTTATGCTATGCAACTAAATTCAGAAAAAAAAACAACATTAATGCTTTGGATCGACATGCGGCGCATCGTTTCTAATAGACCTGCTGAAAACAGGTATAAAGCTAAGCACAGTTGCTGCTCCCCTAGTTTCTTCATGAACGGTCCTGAGACAAAGGAGAAAATTCTGGAATCCGAACACCCAAAACAATTAGGCGACCAGTGTTCTAAGTGTACAGGTACATAACAGGTTTTGCTATTCAATCCTAATCTGCAGGATGCATTAACACATTTTTAGAAGCACAAGTTAATTAGAAACTTAAAAATACGTAAAATATAACAGAACCCGTATCGGTCGTGAGGCAGCGAAACGAACGTCAGCAAGATACCAAATACAGGTTATTTAAATGAGCACAACCTGCACCTGAAATGTAAATAATTGAGCAACAGTGTTCCAAGGTGTGAGGATACTACCTAAGCCACTTCACAAAAACAGTATTTACAGCGAAACAAAGCTGTCATTTGAACTACTTGCACTCATCAGTTAAAGTACTAATCTCTTTCCAATCATCAGTACAAGGGCAGCAGCAGGGCTCTCCTGCAATATATTTGAACTGCTAAAATCATCAGGTATTAGCAGTTATCGAAAAGGCGATATCTCTGAAACGGGATCCATCTGATCAAGATTTTTGGAATTCAATCTGCCAACATTACTGAAGCACGGAAACCGTTCCTTAAAATCATAAAACCCTGCTGCCCTATTAGTCCTGCACAGAAGACTGTTTTTAAGTGATGCATAGCAAATCCTTTAAAAGGCGCCAATTAGAAATACCTTTGGTGTAAAGACCAAACACGCTTGTGATCGCTGCAGACTACTTTCAATTGGATCCCAGTATTAACACCCAGTCCTTCTGCTCGCTGCAGCGTCAAGCGCTTTTCTTCACTGCTCGTCAGGATGACAGGGCTTCGGGCAGCGAGAATGTTGGACTTCAGCGGTCCTCCGAGCCCAAACTGTTAATGCGTACTACACCACAAAGCAATACGAGCTAGCAGCGGATTTAACTAGACATACAGCAATTGAGTTCTGGAGCACAGGTGACCGTACGCTCCTGCTACACGCGTTTTCCACTTCTCCTTACCTTTTTACTTAGCCGTTCACAATGGGAGCACATTTTAAAGAAACCGAGGGACGCCGTTTCCACGGATTTGCTTCCTTTTGCTGCGTGCCTCATCCTGTCGTGAAGATCGTGCCTTGAGGTTGTGTTTTGTTCAAGCTTATCACACTGTAATTCCTGGAGGCTGTTCCCTTCAACACAGATATAACCTAACCCGCCTCTGTGCTGCTCCCCAGCAGAATAAACAAGCGTTCTTGGTCTGGGCAAATAAATCGCTCGGCCTACTATGACGTCACACGGCAGCAACCAATGAAGGGCTTGAGGATACGAAGTAAACAGCCTCTGAACTGCAGTTCATATCTACAGGACGTGACCGGCACCCCCTACAGCCATTCATGACTGAGGCGGCCGCGATGCGTTTGTCCAATCACACATTGCTCCAACGCAATGAGAGGCTGGGGTCTTGTGCGGACTTGGTTAAATCACAGCTCTATCTCCCAAAAGAGAATAAAAATGATAAAAAGTTACAATTTAAAAGGAAGGGACGTGGGTAATGGTACAAGCCCTGGGATCAGACTTTTTAAAATCTTTTATTCGTAATTCTTCTTTACACATAAAACGCCATCAAGTCAATGTGAGCTCACTAAAAAATAGCATCTACAGTACGGATGACAGTGCGCTAAAGAGGTGTTGAGTTAAGGAGAACCACCTCCAATGTTTTCTTGAATTTCATTATACACGCCTTTCAAAGCTGTTAACTGCAAAAATAATTTAACTGCGCCACGACGTACGTTAGATAACCACAGGGCTACACTGGGAAACGCATAAAAGTGGTGGTGTTTAACACAAGACACACAGACATAAACAAAACAGGATTTTTATGTAACAGTTCATTAATTAAACAGTATTCTTTGAATAACTATGTAACGTCAGTTTTTATTACGTCGTCAAGTGGTTCCACTGCAGTGACAGGCACATTTGATAGCGGTCATCTTAAAATACCTCGTCAAATTTAACAACCTGCACCAAAATGTAATCTCAAACACACTTAAAAAGATAACTTGGAGCAGAACAGCCCAAAGGGATATAATTTATTGCTTCAACGATGTTTCTATTCTAGAGCTACAACGTGAAAGAAAATATATATTTAGAATAATGTCATTAACAATAAATTAACCTAACTTGTTAACTGTTACGTATTTTGTATATTATGTGTATATATTTCAGTGCACTCAAAATCATACCATGGCAATTTCTGAAGCAGTGTAGCAACATACGAGAATGTCAGAATTTCCTTCCTTTGGCTATTAATTGGAACAGGGCGGCTGACTCTTGACAGCTGTTGTTAGGAAGCAGCTTTAAAAGCTGTAGGCTGGTCTGCCTGACTGCAAAAGGTAATCAAGCCTGAGCCAGGTCGGTACTGGGATGAGAGACCTCTAAGAAAACCCAGGTGGCTGCTTGCAGTGGTGTTGGGGACCAGTAGGAGGCCAGTCTGGTGACTGGGGACACTGTGCTGTAGGAGGTGTCATACTTTGGAATAAGATATTAAACCAAGTTTCTGACTACTTGGCCATTATTGATCTTGTTGCTCTTTTTGGAAGAGCAGGGGTGTTAACCCTGGTGTCCTAGTTAAGTCAAGTTCAGTTCTGGGTTTATAGACTCTTGCACTCTTGCTTCTTGAACTGCTGTGCAATGGGACCTCTGGCACATCCTGGCTGCTGCACTTCGTTATAGGATAAAGTGAGTGCCATTCTATACATACATGCTTTGGAGTGCAAATCTGTAAATAAATGCAAGTAATTTATTTACATTTAAGCATTTAATAGCTTGTTGGAAACACAAGCTATTAAATAGTTCAAAACATGTTTTGTGTACCCAGCTTTATTGTTGGAACGTGTTGCAAACATAATCAAATCAAGTGTTTGTAACGGCGGTGTAAATGTTAAGGAAAACAAGTTACTAACGTTTGCATGGATTAAGCCTATGTGATACAGCAGGGAATCCAGCATTCTGCTTCTAGGTATTTTTGGTTGTGCAAGTTCAATAGCACCTGCCAAAGCCTTCTTGTCCACATGCAGGCTTTATTTTCTGCATAGGAAGAGCCCCTCTAATTGTCAGAGATCTAAATATCACTATAATATACATTTTTATGTAATAGCCAATATATGATTAATCATAATGAGCACATTGTAAGGTACAGCTTATTTCTGTAGTGTTTGATCAGATAAATAGATTAATGACTCACAAATTATCAGCATGACTTAATTCATACATCCGGAAGAAGCCACTGACTGTGATAAGCAACAGTTTTCCTGGTTTGTATGTAGAAAAATTATTATCTCCAGTTCCCAAGAGTAAAATTCACTCTCTGCAGGCTACTGTATTTTTTCTTGGTATTTTAAAGAGCCATAAAAGGAGATTGAAAAGCCACAAAAGATACACAGTGACTTGCCGATTATTCAGACACCTGCACTGTTTTACATTTTGTTGCTTGAAAGCTTGCAGTCCGAACACTTGGACATAGAAATTAATATATAACCTACATCAAACATTAAAAAATGAAAGAAGTAATTATTATAAATGAAAAACAGACAAATCACTATTGCATAAGTATTCAAAACCTTTTGCTGGGAAAAAGCTAAATCAATTTAGGGTTACAAGATTAGCTTATTTAGCCACACAATTAGTTGAGTAGCCTCTGTCTGTTTCATATGCTCTCAGAATAAATACAATTTGATTTTCAGCCAT